CACCTCCACCTGGCCGAGCTCACCGCCTCCCAGTTCCTCGACGTCTGGCGACACTTCGACGCAGACGGTCAGTCCCGGGACGCGGGGGCCCCGCCGTCACCCCCCCACACACCCACCCCCCAAAACCGGCGGGGAGGGCACTGGGCTGAGCATCCCCGGGAGAGCGGGGCAGGGGGGGACGATGGAGAGTCCCGGAGCAGCCCGTCGGGGGTGCCCGGAGGAGGAGGTAGAGGCTCCGCCACCGCAGCCCGGGGAAACGGGGAGCCCCCGGGGCGCAGCCCTGTCGCGGAGAGCTCCGGCGTCAGGGAGACGATCGCTCCCCCAGGACCTCTCCATCGGGAAAGGCTGGGGACCCCAGCACCGGACCCCGCCAGGAGCCCCCAGCCCGTGGGATGTTGAGCCTTAGGGTGCCCCGGGTCTCCTTTGCACGTCCCCCAGGTGCCAGGTCCCCCGAGAGCTGGGGCTCGCTCAGGGCTGGTGTCACCTCTGGGTGCTTGCCGGGGCGTCCTGCCCTTGCCGGGGTGCCTCCTCCCAGGAAACCCTTGCCCTCCCTCTGTCCCCTCCATCCCCTCTGCTTCTGCCGTGCCCCATCCTTGGCACCTGGGCTGCCTGGAGGTGTGGGGGACAGTGCGACCACCAGCCTGGCCCCAGGGCCACCTTCTTGCCCTGGAGACAGAGTGGGGGGTGACAGAGAGGGTGTCTGTTGCCTGGTGTGTGGGTAAGAAATGGCCCCTGCTTGGCTGGAGCTCTCGGTCCCTCCCCGCCTGCTCCCCAGCCCTGCAAATCCTCTCCCCAGGGATGGTGTGGCAGCAGCCATGTCCCCAGCAGGGATGTCACCTCCCCACCGAGTCGTAGCTGGGCATGCCACTCCCGGTCCCCATCGCTGCCAGACCCAAAAAGGGGGGCTGGGGGGGAAGTGCAAGAAGCAGCATCATTTTGGTGGGAAAATAGTTTGTTTCAGCACTGTGGTGCAGTGAAGGAGGCTTAGCCCGCTGGGAAGAGCAGCCCAAGGGAAAGCTCTTGCCCTTCCCGGGGTCTCCCGTCCCTGGGGGGAGGTTTGGGGACCAAAACCCTCCTGGGAACTGCGTAACGCAGCGTCCCCGGCTGCGCTGCTGGAGCCGGAGCTCATCCTGTGCTGGGTGCCCTCCTGGCCGCACCGTCAGGGCCCCTCCTGCAGCCCCCGCAGCACTGGGGGACACAGGCATGGCTGTCCCTGTCACCGCTGGAGCTGACACTGGAGCAGCTGAGGGGTTGGGGAAGGTGCGAGGGTTGCATCCCAGCAGGAGTGGGCAGCTCCTGGTGTGGGTGTCCAGCTGCCTTCTTGCAGCACATCCCGCTGCACCCTTGGATGTGCTCCGTCATTTCCAAAACACAGGGGCAGGCACAGATCCAGTGTGGCCCGTGGCCCCTGGGCAGGGCAAGGCTGTCGGGCTGTGGCACGGTGGGTGCCCAGGCGAGGATGGACTCGGGTGGCAGGGGAGATGGTGGCCTTGGCAAGGACGATGCTCGGCCGCATGGGGTGGGAGCTCCAACAGCCCCGGCCAATTCCCTCTGCCAATGGGCATGGGGTGATGGAGCGACCCAGGGTTCACCCCCCTGCAGATGGGTCTGTCTCACCCAAGCTCTTCCCTGCACTTAAACACCTCTCATGAGGACTCTACCTGTTTCCTCATGCCCCGGAGATGTCCCTTTGAGTGTCTTTGACGTTCTCGCTTTGCCAGCCACGGCTGTCCCATGGCTCCGCAGCACGGGGAGGCTCCAGGGATGCTGGTGCAGCTGCACGGGCCGGCTGTGGCTCTCCGGAGGGGATTTTACTTGCCGCTCCACACACTGCCACTCTGCGGACACAGATCAGACCTGTCCAAGCTGCTGCTTGGGGGAAACCAAGCTACCAACCATGGCTTTTCTTGGCGTTATTCTTTTTCCTGGCTCTAAACTCTTGCTGATTTTTTTTTTCCAACTGAATTCAAAGGAGCTTGGGGCTCTCCACCCACAAAAACAAAGCCCCTGGGAAAGTCAGTGGAAAGCCAAGCCCCTCTGCAACTCACACCGGCACCCCAACACTGCCTGAGCTCCTCGTCCCCTCCTGGGAGGGATGCTGCTCATCCGTCAGGATGCAGCTGTCAGCAAGGAAGGTGCCCTGGGACTTTCCCAGGCGCTTGCAGCCAGGATGTGGATGGGTTATTCTCAGCCTCTGCGTTGCAGTGGGAAGGAGATGCTGCCGGGGAGCCCACCAGTGACAATGCCGGAGGTGGCACAGAGCAGGGCGCTGCGGTCCAAGCCTCCAGAGGCTGAAATGGGGAGGGTTTTTTGGGGGGGATGCCCACGAGGAAAAGCCCTGGCTATCCCTCAGTCAGGCACTTCAGAGGAAGGGGCAGCATCCCCCAGATGTGCCCAGATGTTGGTGGGAGGGAGGATTTCTGGCAGCACCACAGAGCCAGTGTCCTTGCTGCCATCCCCCGGCTGTGGCATGACCCTGCTGCTTCGGGGCGCACTGGTCACCCCCTCGGAGTCACTGAGAGCCACTGCTGAGGCAGCAATGCATGGTTGGGTCCTGACTGAGCTGTCCTGCTGCCGAGCATCCCGTGGGCAGGGAAGGGCTGTGGATACCCCGGGTTCCGTAGGAACCACATCTCAGCACAGATATTGGCAGCGAGGGGTGGGGGGTAGACTGGAGAGGGACCTTTCTGAGCCCCCGGCCACCTCAGAGACTGGCACTGGGCTCCCTGCCCTGCGGGCTGACCCCATCCCCGGGGCTGATCCTGCACCTGGGGGGTGATGCTGTGTTGGGTGCCTTGTCTCTGCTCCCCTCGCTGGCCCCCGCAGTGGGTCAAGAGGAGACAGTCCTAGTTGGGGGGTACTCAGGAAGGAGAGGTTTAATTAAGCCACCCAATTAAAGCATCAGATGCAGAAAATGCAGCAAACGCTGGGATGGTGACAAAGCCCCCTGTGCCCTACAAGGGGGTGCAGGGACAAGTCCGGGGCTATGGTTCCCCCTGGGCTACAACATGGGGGGCTCCAGCTCTCTGCAAATTCAGGCATTGCTGGGTTTGTATAACACTCGCCGTCAGCCTGCGTTTCTTTGCTGCTGCAGTCACCTCGAGCCGTGTCCCCGTGTGGAGGGGGACAAGCACTGCGTCCCCCAGGAGCATCCCTCCCTTGCTTCCTGCCCTCTGACACCAGGGGGGTCTTATTGCATTTTTTTCCTTCCCTAGGAAATGGCTACATCGAAGGCAAAGAGCTGGAAAACTTCTTCCAGGAGCTGGAAAGTGCAAGGAAGGGGGCGGGTGTGGTAAGGGCCTCTCGTGGATTTGCTGCCTCCTTCCCCCTTTCCCTCCTGCCCAAGGGTTCAGGCTCACGTCAGCCTCATCTCCTTTGGGAATGGCACTGACGAGCAACTGGGGCACCTCTGGGAGGTAAGGGGAGAACGCTGGCACAGGGAGGGATAAACACCCCCATCCCCTCTCCTTGGGGCAGGATTCCAAGAACGACAACTTGGGTGACAAGATGAAGGAGTTCATGCACAAGTACGACAAAAATGCGGACGGCAAAATTGAGATGGCGGAGGTGAGTGGTGCTGATCCTGCAGACCCCTGGGATGCTCGCAGTCCTTCCCCGATGCTCATGTTCCCCCCTGATGCTCGTGCTCCCTGCAGCTGGCCCAGATCCTGCCCACGGAGGAGAATTTCCTGCTGTGTTTCCGCCAGCACGTGGGCTCCAGCTCGGAGTTCATGGAGGTGAGTGGGGCGGGCTGTGCCGGGGCTCCCCACAGGATTTGGTCCCCAGTGCCCAGCTCCACCACAGAGGAATGGTCGGGAGCTGGCATTGCCCAAACTCCCCTGGTCTCCCCCAAACTGTTGGCTTTCACTCAGCATCGGGAGGCAGGGTGGGGCATCCTAGTGTGGATGGTGCTGGGTTTGGGGGGAGAGCAGGAGTGTGATGAGTTTTCCCAGTCCTCAGCACTCCTTGGGCACCTCTCAGGGCAGCCGGGCACCTTGTCCTGGTCTCCAGGCAAGGTGAGCTGTGGGGATTCGGAGCTGTTTCTGTAAATTCCCCCTCTGAGTGGCCAGTTCTTAGTGCCTGAGGGATGTGCCGAAGCAGAAAATGCTGCTGGATGTGGTTCCGAGCCACCCCAAAACCTCGCCGTGCCCAGGCACGGGGTGAAGCCCATCTGTGGGGTTGGAGAGAAATTGCTGATGGGGACCGAAACGGTCCACCACCCACGGCTGGGGGTGGAGGGGGATGTGCAGCATCCAGAGGGGGGGGAGAGCTTGGGCTTGGAAAATAAAGCCAAGGTGGAGGCGATGGCTGAAAGAGGAGCACCCCGTTGCACAAGGAGGGGTAAGGAGAGGCTGTTGTTTAATTGGGGGATGCCATCAAATATTAAAGCCTTGCCTCGCATGCTGGGGCAAGAATAATAGCGCTTGAAATCTTGGCATAGGGCTGAACAAAAGGAGGGCTTGCAGAGCATCCAGCCCCGGGGGAGGGCACGTGGCACTGGTGAGGTCACCACGAGCCAAGACCGGAGCCGTGACATGACCCCATCTCTGCTAGGGTGGCAGGGGATGCTGTGAGTGGGGGGTTATGGGGGTACACACATGTCGGTGGGGGGAAATGTGGGGTGCAAGCCCACGCTAACGTTCACAGTGGCCGCTTCGCAGGCTTGGCGGAGGTACGACACGGACCGCAGCGGCTACATCGAAGCCAACGAGCTTAAGGTGAGCTGCAGGATGGGCTGGGATGGGTCCCCACCAGCGGGGCATCCCCGCCAGGACAGCCAGGGACGGGGACAGCCAGCAAAGCCATCTCCTTCCAGGGCTTCTTGTCGGACCTGCTGAAGAAGGCAAACCGGCCCTATGATGAGCCCAAGCTGCAGGAGTACACGCAGACCATTGTAAGTGGGACCTCCGGGCTGGTCCCAGGGGACCACAGCTCTCCCGGGGCAGGGCAGTCCCCTGCCGGGGGTCTCGCCACCCCACAGTGGGTGGGAGGAAGAGGAGGAGGAGGCGATGGGTGACTGGGTGCTGCTTGTGTCCTGGCAGCTGCGGATGTTCGACATGAATGGCGATGGGAAGCTTGGCCTCTCGGAGATGTCCCGGTAAGGTCACAGGCAGTGAGAAGGAAGCGGTGGGGAGGGAAAGACCCTGAAACACTCGCATCTAGGAAGAGTCTGCTCCTCCTTCCGAGGAAAACAGTTCTCCTCTTTAATTTGCTTATGTTTCTGAGTGAAAAGTAATTTTGGTTTAAAAAAGTGTCTTTTCCTGGCTGCTTCCTGCTCATCCCTGCCCCTCTTCTTTTTCAGACTTTTGCCTGTGCAAGAAAACTTCCTTCTGAAGTTTCAGGTAAAATAAAAATAATAAATAAAAACATTCCGATTCCCTGCTTGTGCCTCCATCCTCTCCCTCATGCCCCGCTGTCCCTTGCTGCTGCCCAGGGCATGAAGCTGTCCTCGGAGGAGTTCAACGCCATCTTCACTTTCTATGACAAGGTAGGGAAACTGCCCCAAATAAATGTAACAACTCAGAAAAAAGAAAAAAAGAAAAACCCAAAAAACGCCATGTGTTTTCAGTTGGGTCAATTCCCTGCTCTGATTTGGGGTGTGAGTGCTGGGTTTACTCCTGGCTGTGCTGGGGAAGGGTCTGGGGGTAAGGGTCTCATGTCCTTACCCCTGCCGATGTCCCTCCCTCGTTACTCAGGACGGGAGCGGCTTCATTGACGAAAATGAGCTGGATGCACTTTTGAAAGATCTGTATGAGAAGAATAAGAAGGTAAGTGGGGAAGAGTAAGTGGGGGACAGAGCCTGGGTGCCCCCCCAGATCCCCCGTGTGCCTCCTTCCCTCTCCAGCAGCGTCTTCCACCCGCTGTGTCCCTGCTCCCTGGGGACCAGGAGAGATGCTGGTCCAGATGCCAACCCTGTGTGCCCACGGGAGGCTGTGCTGGAGCTCCGGGGGCATTGTCCCAGTCTGGGGGTGCCCCCCGGGGAGAAATGGGGTACCCAGCCCCTCATCAC